AAAAAAAAAAAAAAAAAAAAAAAAAAAAAAAAAGGGGGGAAGTTGAAAAAAAAAAGAAGGGAAAACTGCCACGAATCTAACCGCAGTCTCGGTCCAAATGCAAGTTTAGAAGCATTTGGACTACAGATAGATATCAGACTATTCGTTTCAACAGTCTGCTTGAAAATTGCTGAATACAACTGTTTCTGGGCTGCGTCTGGCCGCGGGTGAAGGCCAGATGCATTACCAGGGTTCAGAACTTGGTTCCCCTAGGGGAACATCAAGTTCCCTGGCCCTTGATCACAATTTTGATCCAAGGCCAGACTCTGTTCGGGGATTTGGCTAAGGGCAAAGTTGCTGCCCTCAGCCTTCAGTCAACTATAAAAGTCAGCCTACCACCCAGCAGCCTGACACTTGTGGCAATGCTGCTGGGGCATTCTACTTGAGTAGATGCTGGCTGGCTGGCTGCCGGTGTAATGAGGCGAAGTGTTGGAGGTCTGCAGAAGCACTTAGAGGGAGGAGGAGGCAGCCATAGGTAGAGGCTGGGAGCTTCTTGCCCCACCTCTTGTGCTGTGCTGCAGGCGGTGGAGGAGCCATAGTCGTAAGGCTGCTGTTGGATTGGGCCGTGCGGCAACGGATTTTCTTGAGTAGGAGGCCGCATCGCTGTACCCTTGGACGGAAGCACTGCAGAAATTGTGCGGCGGCAGCGCTGGTTTTCTTGACGGTACGGCGAAAGCGCTGCCGAATTCTTGGGGCGGGAGCGCTGGTTTTCTTGGCGGTACGGCGAAAGCGTTGCCGAATTCTTTCGGCGGCAGCACCGATTTTCTTGGCGGTGCGGCGGAAGCACTGCCGAATTCTGGTGGCGGCAACACAGGTTTTCTTGGCGGTACGGCGAAAGCGCTGCCGAATTCTTGCGGCGGCAACACCGGTTTTCTTGGCGGTGCGGCGGAAGCGCTGCTCATATTGTGCGGCGGCATCGCTGGGTATCTTGGCAGTACGGCGGAGGCGTTGTCGAAGGTTGTGGAGATAGTATTTTGCACAGGATTACGAGAAGGGGGATTGGGCGTTGCCGCAGGGACGGTACCGCCAAGATGGAAGTGCACCTTGGAATAGAAAGGGTGTGGCGATCGTCTTGTTGACGGCGTTGCGGCACGCGACACTTGTAAGAATTGCTGAGGCCGTTGTCATTTTTTTGCGGCATACCGAGTAAGCGGGGATTGGGTCTGGAACGACCAAGTATTGCGGCAGACAGATGGTGACCTGACTTGGTATTTGGTGGGTTGAATCGGCGCTGTTTTTGGTGGAAGGTGTGACGTTGAGGCTGTGGGATTTGAGAGTGGGACACTCTCCTCAACGGTCAGCTCACTTCTGTGTTGGTTTGCGGCGCCTGAGTTTGTGGTGGCGTTTGAAGGAGGGTGTGACTCGTCCTTTAGAACGGCCACGACGAAGGTTGTGCGACAGAACTTTTCGTGAGAAAATAACCGGCTTTCTTGAGTGAGCCTTCATAAAATTCACTCGAGGTCAGTGGGACTCAGTTCCTTTGCACACCCGCGTGAACCCACACCTTGCATGACCTTGCTTTAAATTCAGGGGAAAAGGTAGTGAAGAAAGTGCTGACTTGTTTTGGGGATGGATGAATCTCTGGATTGTTTCTTTTCTTGATTGTGCAGGTAGGTGGGGAGATGCATGTGAGAAGGGATCAACATTGTTTGCTCGAGATAATAATGAGGATGCTTACCTCTCTCCCACTCAACCTGAATGCACGTGATAGAAAAGAGGAAAAACAAAAATAATAATGGAAGTGCGAACGGACGGGTGCAGAAAGAAAAAAGGTCGTGGGAAAATTAAAAGAAAAGAAGACAAGGGAACACCTTAGTATCTTCCCAAGGATTTCCCCATTCTATCCCGAACGACCACTATCCTTTTATGCCCGTCCAAAGTATCTTACTTCTTTTTCTTCTCAATTCGTCTAAGTCGACCCTTAGCCGGGAAGGCATAGAGCGGTCGTCTGCACCTAGGGGCTAGGCTTCTTCTCTCTAGGAGGTATCTGAGGCGAGGGTTCATTGCCTTAGGGGCCGGCCCTGTTATCGACTCGGAGCGGACCGCTTTTGCGGGGGGATACCATGCTATTGCGGTGGAGCCAACCCAACCTTTGAGTTATGAACAATGTGTTCGGGCGAGGGGGAGGGGTATTCCAAACCACTTCCTAGAGGGTAGGGTGTCTTGAAGCTAGGGGTTGTCGCCTCCTCGTGCTTTCAAGGAAAGGGGAGGCTGAATCTAGTACCCGGCCGGGTGGCCGCTTTAGGAGGCACCAACGTGTGGGAGGGCTGGCGCCACAAAAAACCCAGCCCGTGACTCAACTAGTATTAAAGAGGGTGCAACTAGGCACTACCTTCGTGTTCGGACCGTGACACAAGAATCACGGCCCGAAAAAGGGGAGTGAAGATTGAACATGGAAATGGGTATATCTGAGTTTATTTTGACAAAGTTACCGCTTCGTTATCCAGATGCTTGCGGAGACAGTGATTCTCCGATTGTTCAACACACGCGAGGCGGCGGCTAATTGGTTAGCGGTGCCGACACGATCCTGCGCCGGCATGATACAAAAAGGAAGGCTGGTGTACAACCCACTAGAGGTTTACTCGGAACGGGATGCGCCGCGATTCTGGGACAGAAGCGTGAGGAAACCACCTCGGAGTTATGTTTTCTTGGTTGAGCCAGGCCAGCGTATTGTGCAATATCATTTTGCGCCTCCTAATCCATCACGAGATTATGGAGACATGAACCTACTTGTGGTTCATGAGGACTGTCCGAGAGTAGAGAACATTCCTGAGGTTAGGGGGATGTTCCTCCATATTGTACTCCATTTGAACGATTTGCAAGGTCCGTTCGGGCTCCTTCATCACGTGAGACGGGTCCGAGCGAATAAATTTAATATCATTCGCTCGGAACGTTTCGACATCACCACGTTTTATGACGAGGCTTGTGAAATTTACGAGCGCCTCTTCTAACAGGTGGCTTCTGCGGTGTGCAGATGCCTAGCGGACGACGAGACTTCACTCAGGCCAGGTATCTATTGATTCGCGACACTACGGACGAGGAGCTGATCCAGCGAGCGGAGTGATTATTACTAGTTCGGGATGGAGCGCCCACGCGGTGGATTGGTTTTATCGGCCTGCTCAGTGGTGGGCAGGGATTCTTTCCTAACTCGCGCGCGGATGTTCGCGCCAGTGTGGCCCGACTTCCGGACGAAGTTCATGGATACACCTTGTACTTCCATCGCGCAAGCGACCTCCAATGCCTTTCTCGGATCATTGTGAGCGTCAAAATTACCCTATCCGGGGAGCGCTATGGTGTCATTCGGATTAAAGAAACCACTACCACGCACATGTTTCGGATGCGTCAACCGTTCCGCGCCATGGTTTGGAGGCTCGCCTCACGGGTGGCTTCTCTCTATGATACGCGGAAGGTCCGAGCCGTGCGAGGTGGACGTGTCTCCAACTGATTTTTTACGACGAGGAGCTTACGCGACTCAACTGGATAGAGGCCGAGGCCCGTGAGGGCCGACAGGTTTATCCTGGCTGAGCGCACCTTCTCGAGTCAGGTGCAGTGGTAAGTTGTTCTTTTGTAAGGCCACATCTACGTGATTGTACAAGGGTAATAATAACAAAAAAAACAACAATCTTGCGTAGGTAGGCCAACCAGATGGATAGTATCTGGATTACCCCGATGATGGCTCTATCATGCTTATGCATTGAGGGGTAATCGATCGCTGAAGAATGAGCCGAGCAAAATGAAAACTGAACACCTTAAAAGGTGTTGAGCAAAAGGGCGAGGACGAAGTATCAGGAGATGAAACATCTGCATGCCAAGTATCTGGTGTTGGGGATGGGTACTTCGTCATTCGCGGAACGGAGAGAGTAATTATTGCCTAGGAGGACAAATCGACCGACAGAATTGTCAGTCGCTCTTCCGAGTAGATGTATGCGGTACGACAATGTGGTCGAACCGGGAGTTCAAACATCGACCATGAGCCAGATCACTTGTTGATCTGCATGGTACCAGCGGTATTTACTTGTAAAAGTTGTGCGCGACGGATCTTCCGTCTTCGGAGGACAGTATAATTGTCTCTTCGGTCAAGTAGGCAGGAAATGATAACCTTGGCAGACCATCTCATCAAGTCGAAATGGTGTTTATGTATTGGTTTTATTCATTTTATGAGTAGGGGATTATAAAGGGACTAGGATTATATGTTGGGTTTCACGTTTGGTCGAGGCCGTCCTAGTCGACCGACGCTCGTTCGTACCGAGGAGATCAGCGCCCTCGGGAATGGACAACGTTCGGGTCCACTTGGCGTTAACCAAGCGTACCTATACTCCAGCAAGCGAGCAAACGCCCTCAGATGACCTACCTCTGCAATTGCATGTAAAAGCTTTCGCACGTGGGTCAGTAGCTCGGTAGGGATACGCCCCTGAGGGTAGTGACAGCCCATCAGGGAAAGTAAGTTGTGCCCCGCGAAAACCTATCATGTCGTAGGGGATCGCGGGATGTATAGCTGGCGCACCCGGCTAGAGCGGCGAAGGGACAAGGCAGCCGCGTCCGTTCCGGCGGTTCGTGGGATTATTTCTGCATCGTCCCAAGTTGTCTCTTGATTTTATTTTGTTCTAACTCCTGCGTGACATAGCCGGGAAGGCCCTCGCTCACACGGGGGCCGATGCACACGATAACGTTTCTATTGGTTCCTAGGGCTATAGCCTTTGCGGTTTCTGGCTTAGAGTCATTTTTTCCCGCCGGGCTTCTCGTTTTACCCTTTTCCTGAGCTCTCTCTATCATGCCGGCCTAGCTATTTTCCTGGAAATCTCTGGAGATTGCACACCGATGCTTCTTGTCTTACATCTCCCTCTTCCCCTTTTCTCCAGAACATTCCCAACAATCCGCAGCCACAAGTCCCTGTTACTTATCCACTGTTCCCTATCCGGTCTGGACCTACCTTGTGATAACCCAAGCCTTGTACCTTGTGCCTTCACATACCCTTCGGACTAAAACCCGAAGTAAGCCCCGAAGTACGTATCTTCACTAATTACAGGAAACGGGGTCTGTTTTAGAGTTTTGTGGGCCAATTGCATGCATTTTTTGAGATTGCCCCTGTCCTTCTTCGAATTAATCTCGAGCAGGCGATTAGCGACCACGTTGAAGTTTCGAAGAAACGGTTTTGCTTTTCGGTTGAAAGCATTTTTCAATTTTTCTTTGCATTAGCGCACGCGCGGACATGTTTGAATTCTTGCTTGCCACTCAAGCCCGCTCCTCGCTTTGTGAGCACGCACCAACTTCCTTTCTTGTTGTCCTTCGTCGCTGCTCACCTCGTCGTCTTCCTCCAGACCCTTCGTCCAATCCCTTCCTCGATTCTTTGGTGTGGTTGATTGATCGTCACTTGTGTTGGTCGGATCAAGCTGTAAGAGCCAACTTAGGCACACGGCTTGAACGACATCCCCAAGGAAACAAAATTGTCGATCGTTCCACCTTATTCTACCTTCCAGAACCTTCTTCTTTCTGTTCTGCTCATCTATGCCCCTCGCTGCCCACAGTACACGCTGGTGCCTTGCCGCCTTCCATGCTATAAATTTGCACAGCCCCTTCCTCTCCCTCTCTTTGATCTCGGCTGCAATGCTGCACAAGCTATGTTGGAAGTTTGATAAATAGAAACAACTAATAACGCTGGTTACTACTCCTATTAAGGCTAATAAATAAGCTCCGCAACCTAGAGCAGCAAAAAAGAGATAAAATTTGCTGCAAAATCCTGCTAATGGAGGTATTCCTGCCAATGAAAACATAGTAATAAACATTGTAATAGCTAAAATAGGATTCGTCAATGCTAACGCGGCTAAATCCGCTATATATTTTAAACGATTTTGGCGTAAAGCTAAAACTATTCTAAATACATTGACGATCATTATTACATAATTGAAAACACCGATTAGTAAAGACTGTCGGCGCCGAACAGGCTTGACGTGCCCAAGGAACGGGCGGAGCGTGCGGGTTGGAATTAGTGGTAGACTCAGGGTAAGGTGTTTGAAGGGATTGACCGGTGGTGGAAATGTGAACGCCACCAACAGC